TACGTTCGTGCTGAAATACCTCGCCTTAAAGGCGTTGCTTACTTAGGAGCGTTACTTACTCCTTTTACTTTTGGTATTTAAGCATTTACTTTAAAATCCAACTTGGGACACCTGCTGCTACATTTCGTGTATTTTTTTTATACGAATGTCGATATCGCACTAATGAAGCGCTAACAACTCGAAACATTGACGACGTGTGTGGATGTAACTAATGAACGTCCGAATATATTTTTGGTTTACCCGATTCCACAGTAGAAATTTTAACCGAACGGGAACTTCGCCTATGAGAGCTTAAAGCGAAAAATGACGAGTTACGACGTATTCCTGAAGCCGATCCACCGCTAAGTACAGAGGATACTAACTTTACTCTCAATACTGAGCCGATTGCGACAAATCAGGTAAATAAAAAATCCAAATATCCGAACTACAACAGGCAAAGCAAGATTTTTTCTTTTCCATTTTCTTACTAAACTCATACATAGAAAGAAATTTATATGATATCATTGTTTCAAATCAAAATTGGATTGTTGTGGTAATAGCATTACGTGTTGTCAATTATAGCATACTGCGTTCTGGTTTTAAAGGGTAAGGATGCTGATGAAATTACAAGCACATAGGACTTTGCAAGTCTTAGGGTGGCGGGCGCAGTGACAATGCCCCTCAGATCTTAAAAGCTCTGAGTGACACTGTAACTGCTTTGGACAGGCTTGTCGCTTACTACCAGGTGCACGAAATATTCGTCCCTTCACTTGGTGTCTTAAAAAAAGTCACAAGCGATCAACACAGTGCTTGAAACATACATTACTTAATAATAATAATAAATTGTTTATTGAATAAAAGGAATAACTAAAGACTAATTATGCGTGTCAACGTAAAATATAAAACCTATACAAAATAAAAATATAAAATATACATGAACCAGGAGAATCCTGTATTTCAGGTAAAAAGTACTAATTATATAGGTGGATATATGATTAAATTATAAACAAAAAATAAACCATATACCTACCTATACGCTTAATTTAGACAACATATATTTTGGGATAATTAATAAATACTCTGTATCATTGTAGGACATGTTTTGAAGGAATTCTTGTAGAATTTTCTTAACCTTTATGTAACAAATATGATATATGGCCAATTTGGATTTCATTTATTGTACAAAAATGACCCAAGAAACACAAAAAATCTGGAAATAAACACATGTTTTGATGATACAATTTTGGGACAGACAAGATCTTTCCGTCTTTTGTTAATGTTTTCAGTACTATATGAGAGTACTAATCCCCCATAGTTTACATAGATCTGATATAATCATTACAGCTGATCGCTATTGTGAAGAAATAAAGATAATTATGGCGAAACTTGCAGAGAAACAGCAGTAACAGATTTTCACTTTTAAATTTTTTTTCTATATCGCTAGACCACATACAGACCTAATCAAAGGAGTAAGACCTAATCTTGCAGGAGTTAAAGATATAAGTTCTTTGCCAACTTAATGTTGGTTCTACCGACTACCATTTTTTTCCATAATTTCTACAAAGAAAACAATTTAGTTATCGATAAGCTATAAACGACTTCCTCAACTTTGTAGATTTCCGTTCCCCACTGTTGTTTGACAGCGTTTATAGCTTAAATGCATTGATAGCATTTTCAAACTGTTTGTATCAATCTCTTAAACAGAATGGGAATGATTTTTTTTTAAATATTCGTAGAATCACAGGACATCGTCGTCAAATAGTACTTTTTGCACACAGTACCTCCATCTAGCGTTGAACCGTAGATTCACGTCAAGCGCTTTGTCAGTATAAAATAAAGTTTGTTCCCTGAGGAACGTGCCAAATTTGTGGGGAGGCAATTTAGGAATGCTGTACTAGAGGGCGCTTGTGTACGTTGATATTTTTTTTATTATCACTTATTTAGGGGCTTTGATGATTACTGAACATGTCAGCAAAAAACGGAGAAAACAATTTAACGGATAAATCAAAATACTACCTAACCAAAGATGTATATACTATGTTTGTAGCTTCACATAATTTCTTTTATTTTTTTCCATCCTCTAAGCATAATATATACATTTTCAGAAGCAATATGTCCAACAAGCGACAATTTTATTATTTTTTAAATTCAATATTAATGGCTTTGCCTTCGCATTCAGCCAATAAAAAGGTTGGAAAAGCAAACTACAGATTATGGAAAAGGTACGGAATTTGGATGAAAAAGGGTATGGTAGGGTGGGTAGGTTATTATATTACATAATATTATTTTCGATAAATAAGATCAGTACATTATTTTTATACTATGTACAGCCAAGTGGTATATCAAGCTTGACACTCTGGACTTTAGACCGTTCTAATGGTGAGTGATATAGAGTTCAATTTAAATCTTATGTGTCGTATTTGACGTGCTGTTGATCCTGTAATTATTTTGTAAATATTTTTTTCTCAAACATTCACCAACATCCGATCAACATCATAAAATTAACATTTAATCGGTCATAATATTTAGAAGTATGTTAGTATTCAAAATGAATAAACTCTTCGAAGGTCTACGATGTTATTATAGAAAAGGTAGCACCTTGCAGGCGGCTCAATTCCTCTTCGGTACATTATTTCGATGGGTATGGGACTTCGTTCGCAGGTAAGCAGGTGCAAAATTTAAAAGAAAATACAATTATATTTGTCTTTTATAGTTTTTATTTAGTTTAAAAATACAACATATATATCAAAACTGTACAGTACATCATACTTAGTACACGCACGAACTTTTAAAACTGTATTACAATGCGAACGCAACATATGATAAACTTCTAATCTTGCATTAAACATATTGTACGGATTTAATTTAACAGAATAAATAAACAACTGAAATTAATATTATAAACAACATGGGCTGTTTGAGGCCTAGTTGCATAAGAAAAAGAATTGTGCAATTACATGTAGGTCTACAAGCGTTAAATTTCAGCTTAAAAATTACAGATACTAATGTATCTTATTCAAATAGGCCTTTACAATATTTCGTGAGCGTGATAAAAAAATTGTGAAAGTGTTGATTGCAATAGAATTGAAAGAAGCGAGCTGTGCCGAGAATGGTACTAAAGAGTTTAATTAACACGGCGTAACCCAAGCCAATGCTTCCACTTAAAAAATATTTACCATTCCTATATTGCTTCCGTAACTCCATTGCTAAACAACACCGTAGTTATAAGTAATTACAAGCGATAGTTTGTCTACTTTAGATTCTCTTTAATAACCGGTGCCCATATGTATTACACTTCCCTTCTTACAGCTAGCAAGTAACAGTACAGCTCCTTGTGAAAGAGTTCGTCCAGGGTAGTACTGCCACCTTACCTATTTCTGCCGCCAAGCAGTAATGTCAGCATTACTGTGTTCCGATTATGAAGGGTAAGGGTGCTGTCGTGTAAGGAACTTGTCAACTTGTGTCAGGGCTTACCATCAGGTGCACGACTTGTTCGTCCCATCACTTGATAGGTATAATAAAAAAAAAAACTAACGTACTCGACATTATTTTTATATACACACAATTCGAGACACTTTGCATTTTCAGTATTAAAATGTCCTAAGCTTTAAAAATGTTTCTATGATTAAACAGTGGTCACTGCCTCAGTTTGTTTTGGTCTCGGTGCACAGTACACCACAGGGGACGAAAATATTTATCTCGGTCTCCTGTTTCTGTCTCCTATCTCGGTCTCCTGTCTCTGTCTCCTGTCTCGGTCTCCTGTCTCTGTTTAACTCGAACCGCCACCTTTATGCAATTTTGAATCTAGTTATTTCCATTCGTCCTGTTGATAATTTGAATTTGTATAATCTGGGATTTTTTTTTTCGATGATGACGTGATGATGTTTCCATTCTAACGCTTCAAAATAAAAATGCAAGGTGGCTCAAATTATGTGTCCGAGAGTATAATTAGTTTCAGTTTGATTGTTAATATAAGCAAAACCAGGGTAATTGACTTTTTTTTTAATCTGTTGGCGCACATATCTCGAAAGTTGCCAAAATGCAAATGCGTTGTTCAAGGAGGGCAGTATAAGTGCGATGCTAACTACGCACACACACACAGTCAACATACTCCCGCACTAGGGAAACACTGTGTCACGGGTGCCATGGACATACACATAGACAACCACAAATTACACCTAAACTCACGAGAGAAATAAATGCAGGCCATACAAATATTTCTCCCGGCCCGAAAATTGGGACCTCTGCGTGGCAGTCCGGCATGGTAACCGTTCGGCCACGGAGGCAGTGGTAAACTGTTCTTTAGTTCCGAGAATGTAAAGTAAACATTACCTTATATTACTTAAAACAATCAATCTTATAAATAATAAATCTTAACATAAAGTTTGGTCGAAAACAGGAATGTGTAAAACATGTGACTAGACTTTACTAAAACTTAACATCGACCTCAATAAATAATTACATACATTTAATGTTTTTTGAGTTCAGTAAAAACTAAAGACACCCTCTGTACACGCATTTGGATCATTACTACATATTGAGATCTTATACATAATAGGATGACACACAAAACATACTCGAAAAATAGCATCTATGCACAACATTCACAAATAAATTAGATGAACTCAAAATATTTGTAAAATAAACTAAAATACCAACCTTTCTATATCTGTTGTTGTAATACTCTTCCTTTTCTTTTTAGCTCACGAGCTCGCCGACTTCTTTTGAAACCACATGAAACTAAGAAAACTGTTTACGTTTTAGAATCAGTCTTAATTATTTTTGGAATCAGTGGAGATCAAATCTGTAGAAATAACTGAAACTTTGTGTACTGTAGAATCGTACTTCATCTATACATTGTTAACAACACTAATTTAATAAATAACGTAATATCTATTTTAGAGCATTATTTTTACATAAATAATTTGAGATCAATGGACAAATTCATATTTATCCGAGCAAGTATTGACGAAATATATTACTTATAATGTTTTTTTCTTTGAGTCTTTCTTTACCAACCAGGTGTGCAGCGAAAATAGTTTGCCATGACAATGTTCACCCTCGTCTATTCGGAACTTTTCATCAATACTAGTGAGATCGAGTGATTCCATATTTGTTCAGTTGCATCGTTGTAAAAAGGGATATAAATAACGCTTTTTATTGAGATCCCTGGGTATTGTCGACCTGTATATATAAATAACTGAGAATTGTAGTGAATTGTAATTTTGATTGAAATCCGGGTGAATAAGTAAACCTGGAATCTATTATACAATAACAGTTTTGTTTCAAAAGTGTACGTCTTGTACGTCAGTGGGTGTCGTAGCGAGCTGTGTTTGTTCTGTGCTGGTTTGCTTGACGGGCTGTGAATGTCTCGTTCTGGGTTCTTGAGGCTGTGTTTCGCGGGCGAGGACCTTTTCAACATGCCGCGCGACCAGTTCAGCAGCTGCAGCAGGCGTCCGTGTCAACACACAAAGGTCGTTCACGGACATGGGCACTCGAAGGCCACGTGCAGCAGCCGTGATGCAAGCTACTGCGATCAACGATGCTGGCACCAGCAGAAACTCCGTTTCTGTTGGCAATAGAAACCTATTGTCAATACATGCCACCATTTCGTTGATGTCTATTATATGGACGTTGGACATTACTATGATTAATTTAATTTTACTGTCGTTGATATTTTTTGTATATCGGAATTTGAACTGTAACGTACTCAGATTACTACTTGTTTAGTAATCTGAGCACGTTACAGTTCAAATTACTATTCAAATTCAAATTACTTACTGTTTGTAAGTTTTGTAATATCGACGAGTAATTCTAGTAAAAAATTATGTACATTACAATAAATTTTCACTGTAAATGCAATAAAATTGCAAGAGCCTTCACTAAATCAATAATAATAAAAATTACAAGTGGGTACTTAAAAAAATAAAAACCATTGCAATATGAACTGCAGTATTTTAAATTCCTAAAACAAGTTTGTTGTTTATGTGTTTTTATAAGTTTGATGGAGTCTCGGACGCAGGTAGTACGCATCTGTTGCGAGATAATTGCCGCGGACAGGTGGTTCGGACACCTTGCATTTTCATGTCCTTGTAGTCGCATCCTCCGCTTACCTTATGTTACGTCTTCTTTGCTTGGATTTTAATCGTGTATAAATTTTTGGTTACTAGTTGAAGTAAACTACGCTAATCCAAAATAAGTAAATGTAACTTCGCTACATTTGAAGAAAAAGATTACGCTCGCTCGACTAGCTCGACTAGCAAAAGGGTCTCAAAAAACACAAGTTACATTTTGCACAATGCTTTGTCGCTTATTGTTATTTGAGAGAATAAGGAAGGCGAGTCGAACAGCTGCCAGATTTATGCAGTCCCTGCATCTTTTTGCCTACCCAGGAACAATGGACCGGGAATAATGGTAATTTACATCTTAAGTCGTCTAGTTAAGGGCGCAGCTGCGATTTCGCCATGACGAAGGAGGAATCCATTGTTCGGTATGGAGACGTCGATCGTCTCGACTAATCAATAACCTCGTAAATAAATTCCGTTATTTTTGCATTGTGGTCCGTGACCTTCCTTGAGAAGTACGCATCTTCTACATAATACGTAAATTATGATTTCCGCTGTAATGTGTCAAATACCTATTTAAATATAATAGAAAATATATACCCATTTTTCATTTCTTCTCTGGTGCAAAGTGAGTAGAGAGAAGGACCTATTGCGTTTTATCTATTTCGTTACTAACGGTGCAGGTAGTGATGCGAAACTACTTGTAAAGAAATGATGTCGCAGTTGGTATAACATGCCTTAGGGCCAGCCAAGACGGCAGATGTGAGGACACCTGGCGCGACCCTTCCGCTCGCTACCTCGCAATACAAGCGTCGGGTCACTGCCCACCTACACCCTTCTACGTTGTGCCCTTAGAAATTTCTTCACGCTATTCGCCAAGAAAAAACAATATCGCAACACGCGAGCGCATTATAATGTAATCAGAAAACCTACTACGCCAACCAACGTTAAGCTCAAGCTTAACTCGTTTAACTGGAGGTCAATGAAACTCAGCAAGATAGGGGGAACCTCGAATCCATAAAGTATGAAACCGACTGTTCGTTAATTAAGGATTTCAACTTAATTCCTCAGTGAAAGCGAGTCGAATGCTTTTTGTTAGTACTAAACCGCACTGAGCGTGGCTCCTGGCTTATTATAAAATCAAAAACGTTCGCGGGTGGCGTATCAGTGATCTCCACGTGGGCAGCGGACCGGGGCGATCCGTTGTGCGACAGGTTGTCTGTCAGTTGGAGCAACAATCACCATCTGCTTGCTACCACGAGCCGTAAGGGGGTGACCAAGACACCCCCGTTCCTTACCTACCCCTACTAATTTCTACGACGTAATGACTCTCACACAACAGACATCGAGAACCGTTAAGTTCCGTTTGTCAAACCTGTCCCACCCTAACAGTGAATCTAATTCAAACCAGCAATGCAAGGGTTGCAAATAGTTTATATCTAATCGTGCGAAACTGGTTACAATAGAATATTTATGGCCTTGCGTACTTGTATACTCATACGTATTTTATGTCTCATTTTCATCATTCACGTAATGCAAAGGTTGTTTGTTTGCGAGTCATAAAAATATTATACACATAAAATTATTATAAATTATAAAACTATCAAGTTGCATAAAAATTACATAAGCAAGTCAGCGCTGAATGAACTACGGATGTTATAATTGACAAAAAGATACCATAAAAAAGATGATAATACGAAGGAGTACCCAGCTCCCACATTGGATTAGGTCGGAAGAGCTCGAACGGAAATACGACTTCGCAATAGGAACTTCTTAACAGAGTTGAGATTTGAGAAGGCAAGAGCTAAATAGCGGGTTAGATAGGGTCGGGACGCCAGGTGCGCGTCGAGACGGGCCGACGTCTTTGTCGAAGCTCCTTTGTCGCGGGTTCGGGACAGGCTGGGAGCGCACAATGGCCGCGGGACGTCTTCGTGCTTTGTCACCGCTCAGCTGTCGTGACCGCGGTCGCTCCCCTACTTACCAACACAGGGCTTACCCCATAAGTCACAGGCCTAACCGCGACCGTGACACAATTCAAGACATTCGGGAGCATCATACGCTGATTCATATCGCGACAAACGGTAACAAACTATTAGTGCTTACAAGATATCACTTTATGATTTTCCGTTACACAATTAAGTTCATAAAAGTTGCTACGAGGATGTAATAAAGTGTTATTACGACCATTGTTCGTGTTGTGGACTGAAAGATATGTCTTTAGAGAAAATCGTAAGCACACATAATACACGACATCATTACAGACCTTACAACCAAGTCAACGGTTAATTGCATTCGCTCAAAGGCATTAAATAAAGGCGCGGTTTTATTTCTATTGTAAGGTCATCAATGAAGATCAAGGAAGTCAAGGGTCAAGAAGTGTTATTAACCCTTTCGCACCTTGGGTAATGCGCGATCAGTTACCGACAATTATGCTACAGTTTCCGGTGTGGCCTCCAACTCACTACAACATACATGACACCGGGTTATTTTGACATGTATGCATACTGTTACTGATTATAATGTTTGGATTGTTTTCAAATGGTAAAGACATAAAATACATTTCAAGAGAATAAACAATGTCACCATTTAATAAAGTACAGCGAACCAGATCATGGACCAAGAAGGGAACCATCTGACAGCGATAAATAACTCTTATCGGAATTCGATGCATAGGGGTTCACGGAGTTAAGTGCCATCATAAGCTCTTCCAAAGTCGATATTAATTAAGTCGATACTTATTAACTTTGAGAACACACACTTATGTAGGTATTGTAGCAGAATTTACATTTAACCATTTTGAAAAGAGGGTGTGTTGACGTTGACATGATGACATTTAGTATTACAAAATAAATAATCTAGGTATTAAGTACAAAGAAAGTAGATACTACAAACGTATGTACCCAACTTATATACAAGTAAAAAACATGTTATTTTATAATTTCGTCGTGCTCAATGATCGGGTAAGCCCTTACCCTTAGTATGTAATACCATGGGTCGTTGTTTCTCAGTGGCAATTACTGACGCTACGTGGGCCAAGGTGTTAACTGTAATGTCCTCGCTAATGGCATGTATTATTTTATTGCCAAGTTTAATGCGATTATACCGTTTACGACCTTAGATTTAAAGAAATAGAGCAGACTCTACTTACGAAACTACGCCTGGGTGTAACACGTACAAAAAATACCCTAGATTGAATTTTGAATTACCTATTTCGAACTACTGTAGACAATGAAACCAATCATTAAGGCGAAATGATATTGTTTCGTAGGTTTGGAAGAGAAATTCATTGCACGGTATTTATATATTTATTTCTTAAAAGTAAAATATACTTTCTTACTGTAAAAATAAACTCATAGTCCCTATTTCACCATATATATAGTCATATACATAGTCCCACAGTCGTATTTATTACGGATCATGGCAGAGAGCAAGACAATATCACTGAAATATCGATAATAATAATAATCGAATGAAACTGATTTTTCCGTAGATGAACGTAGTAAAATTTAAATTTTGAAAAACTTACCAATTATTTTTAATTCACTACTTCTGTTTTCATTATCTATTAATAAAACAAGTTGAATTCGTCTTTTTAATGTTGAATAACTGATTTTTCGTATGGTCGAAATCAGTACAAAACGTCTATTTTGGGTCCACTTTACCTTAAATGATTATCTAAAATAAAATCTTCTTCCATAGATAGCGAACTATTCATGGTTGAGTTGGTCATGGGCACATATGCGCACACATGGTGCGACTGTTGTGGTATGAACACGCTCCGGTTGAATCGCTACCGTAAATCAGATCGCCATGAGATAATTAAACAATTCCAACTGACCCGAATAATCAACAACTGGCTGAACACAATGACCCTACCAAATCCAGCATTTTATGATCATGAATTTTATAATTTTACGATGTCGTTCTGTAAAATAAAGTCGTAAAAAAACACGTCGTTTGCGCACGTGCTCACATTCAATTGTTAGTGTAAAGATTTGCATAGTAGCTCATTGTCAAACAAGTTCGATTGCTTTAATATTATTATGTCCATAATCTGAATTGGGACTATCACCTGCCTGTAATGGGGTGTCAGTTTTCGTGATCGCCAAAAAATGTGATACTTATAAAATAGCAATGTGAGTTATATTTCTTCTTTTAGATCATTATCATTAAGTATTTCTATGTAATTCAGAAATACTTATTTATATATAGAAATACATATACAAAGGGAGTGCTTAGGGTCAGTGGCTGAGGGGTGCGCAAGCGCAAGGTGTGCGCGATATCACTGCGCTAGCAGCATGTGCGCGTTCCAATACACGCGTCCACTGCCCCACACCAAATGTCCATACGTCCTGCACGCACTACCAGTCGCTTTACAAACAAAGGGAGGATTAGTATTTCACAAAAAATATTTGTGTTTGTACCAACTCTACCATTAAACCAATGAGTGAAGAGAATTAATTGACACTCGAGTAACACTTATCGCTTATTAATTATCATAAAGCCCGCATGTTACGTTGAATTTGCAGGCTATTTATGATAAAATAACCGTAGCTTCGACTAGCGAAATAGTATTTTAATGAAATGATAGATACCTGACAAACACGTTTATAAAATTACTAACATGACAAAGTAAAAACGATGTAGCAACTCACGTCAAGGTCTATTTTGAAAATTTACGTACCAGTATAGCAGACGGACGTGAGTGTGAGAGCATGAGTCCGCACAAGAGGATTGACGCGACCCCAAGGTACTCGCGCCAAGTACGGTTCAACGAAATCAAAAGCTGTCGCTATTGACAATTGCCAGTTCAACCGTTGAAGGAGCATCACTTCCCATTGCTGCAACAAAAACAAGTTTTTATTACATTGTAAATCTAGTTTTGCCAATAATGCAGGGATATTTTTTTCAAAAGTAAGTTATGGTTTATTTCTTCACTAGTAACATTCCCAAAGGGCACGATGTCACGTGAGCCCTATCTTTTACAATAACCTTTCATACCTCTACGAATTGCTTTAATTTACATGCAGTGCAATTACCCTGCACTTAAACTGAATAAGGGACAAACATTCATTCTTATTAGTTGAGTCGTAACCGTCATACTCGATGGATCAGGCGGAAACCGCAAAAAATAGCGAATCACGTTACAAATGAAAATAGTAATACCATAAGAAAAGAGGGCAAGTCATGGGTCCCATGTTCAAATTTGGCATAGGGGACTCGGGGACTGAAATAATAAAGTCGATGTTTACACAGAAGCTCTACGATTTTATTGATATTCATTTACTGCGCCTAAAATTTCATCCAGTATCGATAACACGGAAGATAAACCCAACTAAGGTCATTGTTAGTGTTCGTTCAACGCAAGTTCGTTCAACTTTAATGTACCTTATACGATAGCGTCACCAATGTCAACAACTTTCGTTTTCGACTGTTTTATATCCTTAAGAGCTTATATCAATTATATTGAATCTTATAATTTTGAAGAAATCCCAATAAAACTGCTTGCTCTCTTTTCGCGATGTTTCATTCAAGCTTTCAAGCGATGTTACAATAAGACATATGTGCCTTCCATAGAAGACAGTTAACATTACGATAGGAAACGAATGATAACCGGCTATTCCCACGATCACAAATGGACGAATTAATATGGGATACGGTGAAGTATACCAGAAAGTAGGTGAAATTATGGGAAAGTCGTTCTACCCCACGCCTTGTCGGCGCCATATGAACTCATCAAATATGCGTACTGCGACCTTATCGGGATCATCGCACGAAATAATTGCATAAGGAAGTACATGTCACGACACCATACGGTACCTTAAACCCAGAAACTAATTTTCCCACGGAAAATATGTTAAACGTACTACATATAATTGAAACGTTTATTGTTAAATCAAATGAGCGTAGAATAACGCACATGATACGAGTAAGTACATTAAATAATAAATCCAGGACAAGGAGAGATACACAAATACTTGTACTGTCATCTACCTGATGGGGTTTAGACGCGTGTGAATCGAGTGACAAAGTCAAATTCATGTGCACCAGTACTAATTGTGCAATCGCACCTGCCCATATGCACACAATATTACGATTAGGACATATTTTGGTGTTATTATAACCAAAGTGTGGGAACAGGCGTTAATTGAATAAGAGTAAAATGCCGCTTATATTCCCTTACATTGGTAGAGAATTAGGTAGGTATGACCTGCAGGAAGCGTCTTATCCAAACTTAAAATCTAAATTAGTAGGTGTCTCCGTCCATATTTCCGTCGGAAGCCCACAAGATTCGGGTGCTTTACTTCGTCACAGGTAGTAGTTTTCTTGAGGGTGACAGTAAGTAGCTTGATCGCCCTCCCGAACAAGTTTGTCGCGGAAGAAGTAATTACCGGAAACTTAGGACCAAGTTTAAGGATACGGGCTATATACTAAAACTCGGGGTGAAGGCGTGACATTTCACTCTACTAATCGAGTATATTCACAACGGTATCAAAACAATGCTTAACAAGTTGCGGTCGCCACAGGATATAAGGTGCGTGGCTGCTACGGAACTACTTGACCTTTCATAGAAAGAGGGCCGGTCAAGTAAGTAGCAATCTTTGTACATAATTATGGCGATAAGTATCCAACCTTGTAATGAAATGGAGCAGTCATTCATAACGTGACTAATATGCAGTAAAAGTCAGCAAGGTTGCTTTTTCCCGCACCTTTAACCATCTGCAAGTAAATTTAATTCGGAAAAATACCTGAAGTAAAATCGTTACTACTAGCTAGAAAATAGTCTCACCCTGACTTCACTAGGGTGTACAGAATTGTCAGTGTAGGCGCAGAGGAGGTCGACGGATAAAGGGTGGCACTGGCGGAACTTGGAGGCGAGCAGCATGGCAGTGACTGCCAGCAGTTGCAGCTGCTGCCGCGAGATAGCCCGCTGCGCCAGGAACCGGTCCATGTAGCTCACCGCCAGAGGAAACACCTGCTCCTCACATTGTTGCTCTTCACAAACCTGATAAATTATTAATGCATTTTACTCTAAAACTATCTATAAACATAAGCACAATATATTTACTAGTGTATCTACTCTGCACGTTAAGCTCATTTAGCTTTGCAACGTCTCCAGACGCAACGCATGCAACGCCTAAAGTATGCACCCTATAAGACTGCAGCCATTCAATATACAGTAGTTTTTGCCTTTTTTTAACTAGCTTGTGCTTTCAGTGGAAATTGAGATTCTTGTGCGTATTGAAGGGTTAAGATCAGAAAAAAGTGATAAAAAAGTTTCCGTTATAAACCACTTCTAAGGGCTCGTAAAGTACATGCAAGTTTTGTAACTCGGAGCGATCCATACCTAAGTCACCATGTAGCTACAAATATATGTGTTACATACACGTACGCTCGCACGGGCACAGGGACTAGTCAAGAGCACGTCAAACTTGACATTACGATTTAAATTTAACCCTAGGTTTACTTGTAATAAGAATAAAGTAAATTCATCAAAGTATGACTAAATACATCATTTCACTTTCCTTCAAGAAAAGCTTTTTTATTTAATATGTGTCGATCTAGCTATTTAGATAACAAACAATACTTAAATATTTGCCGATTAAATTTAATTAAGTAGCGAAAGTTTTCCTGAATATAAATAAAATCGAAGGTAGAACCACGTACTATGTGAATCTAGTATGTGTAGATAATCGTAGTATATTTAGAAGTATATAAAAACCAACGTGATTTTGTAACAAAGTTCAATGACTGCAAACAGACAAAACAAAATTACAAATACAAAGTTACAAATTTTTGTACAAATCATCATTCATATGAAGGTACCTTATATTACCAATTACTATTATGACATTGGATTAGTTATCTACACATTACCTAAATACGTAGCAAATAATTGTGTATGTTAATAACACAATGCCAATAAAATAAAAATGTAGGTAATAACAACCAACTAACCTCCAACATCCAAGTTGTGACAACCTTCCGCATAAAAGGCTGTATATCAATTTGAACATTCTGGAAGTAGTCAGTGTGAAGAGCGTGGGTCCTCTCCAGGGTGAGGAGATTCAGCAACAGCCGAGGGTCTCTGTCAAGCGCACGGTCCGAACCAGCGACGCACATGTCCACGGACCTCCCACTGCTACTGCCAGAGTTCTGCATGTTCTCTCCACAGGATAAATCCATATTAAACACTAGTTTCACTGCTTTGATTCAACACAAAGTCCAAAACCAGCACAAAAAGTTCGGGATAGTTCGTTGATCTACGTAAGTTCGCGCAATAATTTTTATATACGATCGAGTTCGTACCACAGGCCAAAGAACGCTACCAAATACACAACCGCTCAGTGAGCGGCCAACTGCCAAGTGTCAATAGGGAGCCTCGACTGTAATGGAACGTGGCTGCAGTCCTGTACACACTGTACCGCACCCTCCTTACGTTCCCCTTTACGATCCCTTGGCCCTTTCCTTTAGATAGGTATTTATCGCAGCTTATGTAAATGCATGTATTTACAACTGCTATTGAAATTGCTATACCTATACAACACATATTTAAGAAAGTACCTAAGAAAAATTTACTCTCCCCGAATTTGATGGTTACCAATTGTGGACGTAACGAGACGGTACTTACGTAAAGTGCTTAAATAAAAAATAGCGATTCAGTAAATGACGCTGTCTAATTATTCGTTCGAGATTGAGTGTTCAATATTTAAAAAAATTACGTTCTTGAATTTTTCACAACACGTAGACTAGTAACCTGATATATCTAATGGTATCTTGGGCTACATTCAATGTGCTAACTAGTTATTTTTAAATTATATTATAAACTGTCTAATTAGTATAAGTGTGAAAAATTAAACATTAAGCATATCAAGGCCAAAGGCGAATTTACTCTAAATTACCTAATTAATAGAAATACTAAGTAAATTTTATTTTCAAAAATGTTAAAACGGCTAATTGCTGTATTTACAATGTAGTGACTTAATTTGATTGTGGACTCTGTGCATTGAAGGCTAAAAGCATAATAATAAATACATACTCGTACAATGTATAAATATTCCATAAACATTTCATTTTTGTCGTAGCGAAAAGTTAATATACAAAAATAATGACTAAAATACAAACTTACAGATATATTCATTATAGTTATTAGACGATTATCATCCAGAAATTGATGGATTTAAAAATGAGTTCATTTCGTAATGCTTAAACTGGATAGTGTCTTAAAACGGGTGCACTTTTCGAATAAGTCTATATACTGGATATTACTTTCAATGGAGTTGTAGGGGATGCTTTAAAATACTTGAATGAACAATACATTTTACCTTTATTTTTAACAATTACTCCAGCGGCCATTAGTAAAGGTACAATTAATATAACACAAAGAGGCCTTGTTTATTCGGAGGGCGCACGCGGCGCGGCGGAGTAACAGAGGGCGAGGGCAGCTGCGCGTGCGCCGCCGGCTGCGCCTCCACCAGTTGACATTTTATTTCAAATCCGAGCACACCTGATCTTTAACTCGAACCATTATTATAATTTTATTCTTTTTTCCAGTCTCCGTTTGTATTATAATACACACGCGTGCCCTGTTCTTGTCCTTCTATATTTTTTTTATATAATGGGCTCCCTTTGAACTTATTATTTTAGAATTTATACATACTCTTTGATAATGCAGCACGGCAGGCTTTTATTACTTATTAGGTGAATTTGCTGCGGCTTCTTTTCTGAGGTTTTCGAAGTACCATTCAAATTTTCCGTTATAAAAGGGTATTTTAGTTACAATGACTTTCCAATCAGTGAGATAGATCCCAGTTATTGCTGCTCCTATCCCCCATGCAATAAGGGATGGAATAAAAGCGCTGAGTGCTTGAGCTTGCTTTTTTCCGAGACCCATTTGTTTTATTTTCAGAAAGCTCAAATACAGAGATACACAAAATTTTATTGCGCTCAGTCCCAACTTATATTCTAGTTGATTTGGATATTTTTGACGCAATGAATGTATGGATTTGGAGTCTCGCTGTCACGTCACTAACGTATGTCAAACTCTCTCTTATTTTTAAGCAATATAATTCAAGGCATTATTAAGGTATTACTGTAATAATTTACTGTTCAATTATGTTTACGAATTTTATGAGCCACATCGATTGTTGGGCAGCGTAATATAACTTATTATTAATAAAATTAATTATCTAAGAACCTTTCTTGAACCTTTTCTTGAAGCACCCAAAGAGAAGGTTGCATATATTTTAATATTTTTACATATATATTTTATTGTTATTACATGTATATTTTATTATTTTTACACATTATGTTTACAATTTGGACATAACGTTGCCTAAGAGCCTAGAGGATGGCAAAAATAAACCTTAGAGCTTAGAGGATGGAAATAATTTAAGCCTTAGCGCCCAGTTTCACGAGGAGCAAGTTTTCGCGCGATCACCAGACTCGCCCGCGTGCCCGAAACGCTCATTTAAGTCAAACCATAAGAGTTAGACGCACGCGATCGCTGCGCGGTGGTAACGCGGTGAACGCGATGAAATTCGTGTGGAATAAATGAGCCCTTAGGGTGAAATCACATACGCGCTTTCACATAGTTCGCTTTTACTGATTTTTTTGAAGAAAAACTTCTTGCTCAAATATATTATTAAAGTAATATTGTATCTGAAAGAGGTATAATTTAACTAATTAAAATGCTAGCTACAAACATTATTGCGCTTACTACATTTTACACCACATTTTTATCTTCAGCCAGAAAAATTACATAGAAATCACGTACGAGGTCCTCACTCGAAGACGGCGATAAGTAATAATAATAAAATAAACGTATACTGTACTATTACGGTGCGTGAGTGTCATGAGACCACAAGCCACGGACCACATTATTATGACATGCCATCGTCAAATTAGGCGCCGCAACCTAACCACTAATTATAAAGTTATCAATTTGTCAACCCTTTCCCATCTTCCCATTTATCTCTGCAAGCGTGTGATGGGCAAATGTACTACTAAGGGTTCAGTCTTCTACATTCCCACGGTCCCTATTGTTATCAATCCGTTATTTTCATTAATTTTAGTATTGCATTAAAATATTCTTACATTAAATCATGTAACAAATACCAAAAAAATAAATAAACTGTCCAAATAGGATTTAATCGAAAGTTTAAGAACAGAAACTCATTTATTTTATTAGCATTTCCACTTGTATCTCAATTATAATCTCATCACTTTACACTTCAAAACCAGCGCAAGTGTGCAAATGGCTTCCATCGACAAAGAAAAAATTAAAAATTCCCGCTCTGAAAATAAAAATGGCGCAAACAACTTGTTTTTTATGCCCGATTTTTTTTCGTTATTTTCCATTATTCTCATAAGGACAGATTCTCAATAGGACGGATTCTCAAGAAGACGGATTCTCATGAAGACAGATTCTCAAAAGAACAGCAGTACACGTAAGGAGAAAAAGAGAAAAAAATAGAGATAAAATTATTTTAATAACTTGTCAATTGCCAAAAGGTGTGTACAAAAAAAAAGTAAGCGATCCAGTGTTGCCAGGTGGTTATATTTTTCATAACTTTACCTCTCACGTAAATGTAAAATGTGTAAAATTAACTTTCGTTTCTAAAAGGCATTCATAAATTCAGCCCATTCATTAACTGCATGGCAGTCCGCCGCGCAGGCTAACGCCTGCCTAATGGCAGGAGACTGTTCGTACACTATCCTGCATTTATACCCACGTATGAAATCTCGCAGGACGCCTCGACCATAGATTATGTAACGTTCTCATTTCATTTTAAGCATGATTGAAAGTTTACCTACGTAAAGTATAGGTTATTTTATAGTACACACATAAAACATTAAATTTTTATAATACGAAATCAAATAATCAATTAAGTAATGACATGAAGTAAAAAATAAAACAATGTGACAAAAATGTTTAGACAATATTTATTCTATTTTTAAGTTTCTGACTTCTCTTGTAAAATCTTGCCAATGTCATGTCAGTCATGAGAGTTCCACTTTCGTTTTTTAATGACGTTTAATTAATGAACACTACTCTTTAGTCTATTGCGGCTTCTGGAACAATAGGTAGGTACAGAACAACACGATATACCATCACCGTTACAAATATTTAAATAAATAAGTTTTATAATTTAAGTTTGTTAGTATTAGGAATTGAAACTATTTTTCCGGATTTAAATTGCGTATATTTGTTTTTTCAAACAAACCAAAACAAAAATGTTTGTTTGAAAAAACAAATATACGCGATTTAAATCTGGAAAAATAGTTTCATTTCCTATGTGTAACAATCGCGAAAACCTAAGAACTCGATTTGATAGTATTAATAAAATCAGTTATTAATTCTAAGAGGGTATTTGTAAAAACATGTAACAGAAACTTAAATTTTACGAGGCGAGGAATAGAAGGTGGCAGACTATCATAAATAGGTAGGGCAGCAGAAAAATATGTGGTCTGGGGTGCCTTCATCCAGGCCACATTCACAAATTAAGTTATCCCGTATTCTAAGTTTTGCCAGATGGACCGGGGTGCAGGTATGACCAATTCGAAAGCGGCATACTGTAGACGTAACAGATTTACTGAATCCTTTGTGGATAAAGAACGAAAGCTTTTTGGGGATACTTGTTTGGATGTCGGCGAAATATTTGCCCTTAGTGAGTTTACTTTTGCTCCACTGTGCGCTCTATGAGGAAAACATCATTGGCAGCTAAAGGCAGGAGGCCATAAGTGTAAGTCTTGTAATGAGTAAGACAACCTGTTTGGATAGCATTTTTCGCCAACATGTCTGCAGTTTCGTTACCTTGGATCCCACAGTGACCAGTACCTACGCTAACACAACTTGTAAATTGTTACGATGACAATGGTGTAAAACTTCCTTGATCTTTAGGATGGTATGGTATTTTGTTTTATTAACGAATTGGTTTGACAAAATAGCCTGCAAACAGCTTTTTAATCTGAAAAAAATATGCTTTTGTTCAATTTGTGAGATTCAATATAGCTAAGGGCTTCGAGCAGGGCTGAATTCGTCTGTGAATATTGGTGCTTGAGGTGGACACTTACAATTCAAAATTATTCCGAACTTAGGAATCCATACAGCCGCACCCACACAACCAACAGCAGCCGGCTTAGAGGCGTCTGTGTAAATAGTCAACAAGCCTTGCCAGTTTTAGTTCGGGCTATATACTGCCTGTCCGCCACAGGAGAATCTTTGTAAATACCAAAATTCAAGATTATTTTAGGTTTATATATTATTGCGTGATAGGGACAAGAAAAAAGGGGATTTTTATCAGTTTGGAAGATAGGAGAATTATTACTAATAATTTTTTTTCACGTTATTACGTTAATACAGCTGAGCATTCCGGAAAGATTGACCAACTTCATTTTTAATCTTTAATCTTTACTTTATCTTAATTAACTTTTAAGAATGCAAGGAATATCTTTGACTTGCCAGTACTTAGAAGTCCTAGTCAGATCAGACAGTTTGTGGAGTTTATATAAGAGAGGATGAGGGGATAG